TATTGCTAACCATGGAACTGGGCTCTACTATTGCTAACCATGGAACCGGGCTCTACTATTGCTAACCATGGAACCGGGCTCTACTATTGCTAACCATGGAACCGGGCTCTACTATTGCTAACCCTGGAACTGGGCTCTACTATTGCTAACCCTGGAACTGGGCTGTACTATTGCTAACCCTGGAACCGGGCTCTACTATTGCTAACCCTGGAACCAGGCTCTACTATTGCTAACCATGGAACCGGGCTCTACTATTGCTAACCCTGGAACCGGGCTCTACTATTGCTAACCCTGGAACCGGGCTCTACTATTGCTAACTCTGGAACCGGGCTCTACTATTGCTAACCCTGGAACCGGGCTCTACTATTGCTAACCATGGAACCGGGCTCTAGTATTGCTAACCCTGGAACCGGGCTCTAGTATTGCTAACCATGGAACCGGGCTCTAGTATTGCTAACCCTGGAACCGGGCTCTAGTATTGCTAACCCTGGAACCGGGCTCTAGTATTGCTAACCCTGGAACCGGGCTCTACTATTGCTAAACAGACATACGGAATTTTCAGCTTAAATCCACCAAATACATTCCGGATGCATCGGAACAAAGATGTACAAAGTCCTACAGTTCATTTTCTTTAGAAAGCAGCCACAGCCTGAGTAGAAAAGCCCATCCCCTGCCAACATGTTGTATAGAAGGACCCCTGCTCTCTGTGTGGAAGCAGTGGTCTGTCTGCAGAGGCCCAAGATGCCCCCTGCAAAGTCAGATCAATAGATATCAGCTCCCTGCCAAATGGGGAGCTCTACTTTTGACTTACCGGGGGTTTGTCAGACGTTTGCAGAGAGGCCACTGCTTCCACACAGAAAGCAAAAGGTCCTTTCAGTTATAGATAAAACTTTAATATCACGCACAGCAATCTTCTTAAAAAGACAGTCGCCATTGCAGGGAAAGGTGCCGTTGTCTCTGCAGAGGGTATACTTTGACCCCCAATATGCACTCACCAGTATTTCCCTCTCTGGGAAGGAAGTCACGTGCCTTGAAGCGGTGAATATTCCTCTTGGCTGCAGAGGTGCGAGGAGCAGCAATGCCACAGAAAAGCCCGGTGAGGCGTGTCAAGGTGTTGTCGGGCATTTTGTAACCGGGCTTTTTTGTGGCATTGGTGCAGTAAAGGCTTTTTCTGGCAAGTTGACCATGCAGCTCATTTTTGATCAAATATCGTCTTTTTGTGCTCCTTAAAAAAAAAAAAAGCACACAATCTATTTCCAGAGCAGCTCGTATTTCTCATGAGGTCACCTGAGGGGTTTTTCATTCCCGAATAATTCTAGCAGTTGTGACTACAATCTTTCTTGGTCTACCTGACCTTGGCTTGGTATCGAGAGATCCCGGAATTTTTCACTTTTTAGTATGTGATTGAACAGTACTGACTGGCTTATTCAAGGCTTTGGATATCTTCTTATATCCTTTTCCATCTTTATAAAGTTCCATTACCTTGTTACACAGGCCTTTTGACAGTTCTTTTCTGCTCCCCATGGCTCAGTGTCTAGCCTGCTCAGTGCATGCACATGAGAGCTGACAAACGAATTGACTATTAACACCCCGGTCACATTGGGTGCGACTTGCAAATCGTATGCCAAGTTTCACCCTATTGTCCGCTATTAAAGCGGTCATATCGGCGCGGTTCCGACTTGGTCGGAGCCGCCCTGATTCTAAAGTAGCGCATGCACTACCTTTGGTGCGATTTGCATACAGATGTCAGACGGCAGGGGCGTCCCTAGGGTTGGTGTCACCCGAATCGATAACACTTGGTGACACCCCCTCTGACGATTCCCGCAGAATGGATCAGATCTGAGGATTGAGCATAATGGATCAAAGTCCAATCTATTATCCTCCCCGATCCGCAGATACGATCCATTCTGCGGGGATCGTCGGTATGCAACCTATACGGGGTGACACCGGACCCGCTCCACGAAAAGGTAAGTTGTAAAGCAAAGCCGATGATCCCCGCAGGATGGATCGGATCTGCGGATTGGGGAGGATAATGGATCGGATTCTGATCCATTATGCTCAATCCGCAGATCCCATCCATCCTGCGGGGATCGTCGGCATGCAACCTATACAGGGTGACACCGGACCCGCTCCACAAAAAGGTAAGTTGTAAAGCCAGCCGATGATCCCCGCAGGATGGATCGGATCTGCGGATTGCGGAGCATAATGGATCAGAGTCCGATCTATTATCCTCCCCGATCCGCAGATACGATCCATCCTGCGGGGATCGTCGGAATGCAACCTATACAGGGTGACACTGTACCCGCTCCACGAAAAGGTAAGTTGTAAAGCCAGCCGATGATCCCCGCAGGATGGTTCGGATCTGCGGATTGGGGAGCGTAATGGATCGGAGTCTGCTCCATTATGCTCAATCCGCAGATCCAATCCATCCTGCGGGGATCGTCGGCTTGCTTTACAATTTACCTTTTTGTGGAGCGGGTACAGTGTCACCCCGTGCGGTAGGTGTCACCCGGTGCAGAGTGCACCCCCCGGCAGATGTATTGCACTGTAATTCACACGATTTCGAAATCGGGCTTAATGTGACCAGGGGGTTATACACAGACACCAACTACAATTTAAGAAGCCCCAGATGTGGGAAATGAACCTTTAATTGCCATTGTACCCTGTGTGTGTCACCTTGTGTGTCTGTACCGAGGCCGAACATTCCAGGGGGCGGAGACTTCTGATCCGGGGGCGGAGACTTTTGATCATTTGGGTGATTTCTGCTATCAGGATTTAAAAAGGAGCCAAACAACTAAGTGATAATAAATGCCTTCATATCATCATCATCCTTTTTTGGCACGATCAGTCAGATTTTCAATATAAATGCAAACTTTTGAGCACAACTGTATATAATAATAATATCTATATATTTATATACAGTGGCAAACATTATTTGATCCCCTGCAGATTTTGTAAGTTTGCCCACTTAAAAAGAAATGCAGGTTCTAGAATTTTTTATTATAGGTGTATTTTACATGATAGAGACAGAAAACCAAAAATCCAGCAAAAACAGACGATGCAAATGTTATAAATGGAGTTGCAGTTCAGTGAGTAAAATACGTATTTGATCCCCTACCAACCAGCAATGATTCTGGCTCCTACAGACTGGCCATGTGCTCGTGTGGTACACAGATCAGTCCTGTCAATGTAAGAAGGCGCTCCTAACGGCAACTCGTAATGTGTATAAAAGACACCTGTCCACAGAATCTCTTTCTTGGGCGCCACCATGGGCAAGACCAAAGAGCTGTTGAAGGACATCAGGAACAAGATTGTAGACCTGCACAAGGCTGGAATGGGCTACAAGACCATCAGCAAGGAGCTTGGTGAGAAGGAGACAACGGCTGGAGCGATTATTCGCAAATGTAAGATATACAAAATAACCATCAATCACTCTCGGTCTGGAGCTCCATGCAAGATCTTGCCTCATGGGATAAGGATGATCATGAGAAAAGTGAGGGACCAGCCCAGAACTACATGGGAGGAGCTTGTTAAGGATCTCAAGGCAGTTGGGACCACAGCTACCAAACCATTGGTAACACAATACGCCACCATGGATTGAAATCCTGCAGTGCCCGCAAGGTCCCCCTCCTCAAGAAGGCACATGTCCAGGCCCGTCTGAAGTTTGTCAATAAACATCTAAATAATTCAGAGAAGGATTGGGGGAAAGTCCTGTGGTCAGATGAGACCAAAATTGAGCTCTTTGTTATTAATTCAACTCGCCGTGTTTGGAGGAGTAAAAATGCTGACTATGACCCTAAGAACACCATCCCTACAGTCCAGCACGGAGGTGGAAACATTATACTTTGGAGCCGTTTCTCTGCTAAAGGTACAGGCCGACTTTGCCGCATTGAGGGGCCAATGGACGTGACCATGTATTGTAAAATCTTGGATGAGAACCTTCTTCCTCCGGCCAGAACACTGAAGATGGGTCATGGATTGGTCTTCCTGCATGACAATGACCCAAAATTTACCGCCAAGACAATAAAGGAGTGGCTCAAGAAGAAGCAACTTAAGGTCATTAAGAGTTGCCTAACCAGTTTCCAGACCTTAATCCTTTATAAAATGTATGGAGGGATCTGAAACTTTGAGTTGCCAAGCGACCTTGAGGATTTAGAGAAGAGTGGGCCAAAATCCCTCCTGAGATGTGGGCAAACCTGGCAACCAACGTCAACCAACTACAAACCTGGCAACCAACGTCTTACTTCTGTCATGCCAACCAAGGGTTCCTCCAAGTACTCAGCCATGTTTTGCTTGGCGATCAAATACTTATTTTACTCGCTGTACTGCAACTCCATTTGCAATATTAGTATCACGTGTTGTTTCTGGATTTTTGGTTGATATTCCGTCTCTATCATTTAAAATGCACCTCTGATAGAAGTTACAGACCCTTCATTTCTTTGTAAGTGGGCAAACGTACACAATCTGCAGGGATCACATCATTATTTTTCTTACTGCAATAACTATCTATCCATTCAGTCGTACCCGACCCTTGGTGATTGCATGGACCATCACCAGCAAGCGACTTTTTCCATGAATTCTCTTTAGCAATTATTTTACAGGATAGGTTGCCAGGTCTTTCCCCAACCCCCACCATGGAGGAGATCTCGCATGGCCAGGGATGAAACTAGGACAATTTTAGACAGAAGCCAATTAACCTACCAGCATGTCTTTGGAATGTGGGAGGAAACTAGTAACTCGGAGGAAACCCACGTGAACACAGGAAGAACATGCAAACTCCATGCAGGAGGCGCCATGGTTGGGAAACGAACCCATGACCCAATTACTGCAAGGCAGAAGTGCTAACCACTGAGCCACTGTGCCGCCCGTATGCAATAACAATAATGTTGATATATTTATATAATATTAACATCTATATATATCTATAAGAATAATAATAATATCGATACATGTATCTGCGTTACATCTCACCCAATGTTTGGATTTGGCATCCAACTTACCCAGGACAGGATGGAGAAGAAGTTGAAGGCAATGGCTGCTCGAGCGTTGTCTTGGCCAACACTTATCTTCGCTGTATCTGTCAAAGACCACTGATTGGCCAGGAAGCAGAATCCCACAAACCACAGGAAGCTCCACAGACCTAGTCATGGGATAAAAGAGAGGACTCCGGTCAGAGGTGAACATATTGAAGCCAGAGGCAGCCAGTCGACCAGCATTTGCAAAACCTGAGGACTGCAGTTTCAGAACTGTTAACCACTTCCCGTCCGGCCCGTTGTATATAAATGGCCGGACGGTGGCAGTGCAGGGTGGGGTGGACATTTATAAATAGCCTCCCCCCCCCCCCCCCCCCCCGCGCTTGTGCACGCTCCCTGGGAGCACGCAGCACCGCAGTCCGGTAACTTGCACTCTGAGATTACACGGCAACCAATCAGCGTTCACGTTGTAACTTTTCCATAACCACCTCCCGTCCGGCCCATGTATATAAACGGCCTCCCCACCCCCTGCTTGTGTGCACTCCCTGGGATCTGGACACAGTAAAACACTGATCGTCGTACAGGACCTCTGTCTGAGGTCCCGATCATGTGATCACTGATTGGCCAATCAGTGATCACATGCAGAGTAGTAAGCAAGATGTCACTTCTGACATCATTGTTTACTGCGTGTGAAATCTGTGAATGATCACAGAGATCACATGGTACAGGGCTATTCACAACAGCCTTTGTAGCATGTGACAAGCTGTGACCAATCACAGCTCACTCAGTATTTCTCAATGGCTGCAGGAATGCAGCCAGAGAGAATGAGAAATTATTGCTTTTACAGCCTTTATAAGTGTAAAAAAAAAAAAAAAAAAAATCTCCATCACCCCCCACAAGTAGTACAGTGTCACCATGGTGACACTGTACTGCTAGGGTGACAGTATGTAAAAAAAATAAAAATAATAATATAAAAAAATAAAATAAAAATGTAAAAAAAAAGTTTAAAAATTATAATTTTTGGTTATAAACTAATTTGGTTTTTTTTTACTAAAAAGATAACGGAATAAATTTTGGCCAAGATTTATGATGAAATATTATTTATTTGCAAACTTTTATAAGAAAAACACTTTTTTTTCAAAATTTTTGGACTTTTTCATTTATATAGCAAAAAAAAAATAAAAATCCCAGCGGTGAATAAATACCACTAAAATAAAGTTTTATCTGTCTCAAAAAAAATGCTAAAAAAATTCATATGGGTACAGTGTTGCATGACCGCGCAATTGTCATTCAAAGTGTGATAGCGCTGAATGCTGAAAATTGTCCTGGACTGGAAGGGGAGGGAAAGTGTCCGGACTGCAAGGGGAGGGAAAGTGTCCGGACTGGAAGGGGGTGAAAGTGTCCGGACTGGAAGGGGGGGAAAGTGTCCGGACTGGAAGGGGGGGAAAGTGTCCGGACTGGAAGGGGGGGGGGGGGATGGAAAGTGTCCGGACTGGAAGGGGGGGAAAGTGTCCGGACTGGATGGGGGGGGGGGGGGGGGTAAGGTCCGGAAAGTGTCCGGACTGGAAGGGGGGGGAAAGTGTCCGGACTAGAAGGGGGGGAAAGTGTCCGGACTAGAAGGGGGGGAAAGTGTCCGGACAGGAAGGGGGGGAAAGTGTCCGGACAGGAAGGGGGGGAAAGTGTCCGGACTGGAAGGGGGGGAAAGTGTCCGGACTGGAAGGGGGGGAAAGTGTCCGGACTGGAAGGGGTATACAAGGTCCAGCACAGTGTATATAGTGGGGCAGTGAGGAGAATATGAGGTCCAGCACAGTGTACACATTGGAGCAGTGTGGAGTATATGAGGTCTAGTAGAGTGTACATAGTGCAGCAATGTGGAGAAAATAAGGTCCAGCACAGTGTGCATATCAGAAGAGTGTGGAGAATATGAGATCCAGCACATTATACATACTGGATCAGTATGAAGGATGTAAGGTCCAGCACAGGGTACACATATTGGAGCTGTATAACGTATATAAGGTCCAGCACAGTGTACATAGTGGATCAGTGTGAAGTATATACGGTCCAGCATAGTGTACATAGTGGATCAGTGTGAAGGATGTAAGGTTCAGTACAGTGTACATAGTGGATCAGTGTGAAGTATATACGGTTCAGCACAGTGTACATAGTGGATCAGTGTGAAGGATGTAAGGTTCAGCACAGTGTACATAGTGGATGAGTGTGAAGTATATACAGTCCAGCATAGTGTACATAGTGGATCAGTGTGAAGGATGTAAGGTCCAGCACAGTGTACATAGTGGATCAGTGTGAAGTATATACGGTGCAGCACAGTGTACATAGTGGATCAGTGTGAAGGATGTACGGTTCAGCACAGTGTACATAGTGGATCAGTGTGAAGTATATACAGTCCAGCATAGTGTACATAGTGGATCAGTGTGAAGGATGTAAGGTCCAGCACAGTGTACATAGTGGATCAGTGTGAAGTATATACGGTGCAGCACAGTGTACATAGTGGATCAGTGTGAAGGATGTACGGTTCAGCATAGTGTACATAGTGGATCAGTGTGAAGTATATACAGTCCAGCATAGTGTACATAGTGGATCAGTGTGAAGTATATACGGTCCAGCACAGTGTACATAGTGGATCAGTGTGAAGGATGTAAGGTTCAGCACAGTGTACATAGTGGATCAGTGTGAAGGATGTAAGGTTCAGCACAGTGTACATAGTGGATCAGTGTTCAGCACAGTGTACATAGTGGATCAGTGTGAAGGATGTACGGTTCAGCACAGTGTACATAGTGGATCAGTGTGAAGGATGTAAGGTCCAGCACAGTGTACATAGTGGATCAGTGTGAAGGATGTAAGGTCCAGCACAGTGTACATAGTGGATCAGTGTGAAGGATGTAAGGTCCAGCACAGTGTACATAGTGGATCAGTGTGAAGGATGTAAGGTTCAGCACAGTGTACATAGTGGATCAGTGTTCAGCACAGTGTACATAGTGGATCAGTGTGAAGGATGTAAGGTTCAGCACAGTGTACATAGTGGATCAGTGTGAAGGATGTAAGGTTCAGCACAGTGTACATAGTGGATCAGTGTGAAGGATGTAAGGTTCAGCACAGTGTACATAGTGGATCAGTGTTCAGCACAGTGTACATAGTGGATCAGTGTTCAGCACAGTGTACATAGTGGATCAGTGTTCAGCACAGTGTGTACATAGTGGATCAGTGTTCAGTACAGTGTACATAGTGGATCAGTGTGAAGTATATACGGTCCAGCACAGTGTACATAGTGGATCAGTGTGAAGGATGTAAGGTTCAGCACAGTGTACATAGTGGATCAGTGTGAAGGATGTAAGGTTCAGCACAGTGTACATAGTGGATCAGTGTTCAGCACAGTGTACATAGTGGATCAGTGTGAAGGATGTAAGGTTCAGCACAGTGTACATAGTGGATCAGTGTGAAGGATGTAAGGTTCAGCACAGTGTACATAGTGGATCAGTGTGAAGGATGTAAATTCAGCACAGTGTACATAGTGGATCAGTGTTCAGCACAGTGTACATAGTGGATCAGTGTTCAGCACAGTGTACATAGTGGATCAGTGTGAAGGATGTAAGGTTCAGCACAGTGTACATAGTGGATCAGTGTGAAGGATGTAAGGTTCAGCACAGTGTACATAGTGGATCAGTGTTCAGCACAGTGTACATAGTGGATCAGTGTGAAGGATGTAAGGTTCAGCACAGTGTACATAGTGGATCAGTGTTCAGCACAGTGTACATAGTGGATCAGTGTTCAGCACAGTGTACATAGTGGATCAGTGTGAAGGATGTAAGGTTCAGCACAGTGTACATAGTGGATCAATGTGAAGGATGTAAGGTTCAGCACAGTGTACATAGTGGATCAGTGTTCAGCACAGTGTACATAGTGGATCAGTGTTCAGCACAGTGTACATAGTGGATCAGTGTGAAGGATGTAAGGTCCAGCACAGTGTACATAGTGGATCAGTGTGAAGGATGTAAGGTCCAGCACAGTGTACATAGTGGATCAGTGTGAAGGATGTAAGGTCCAGCACAGTGTACATAGTGGATCAGTGTGAAGGATGTAAGGTCCAGCACAGTGTACATAGTGGATCAGTGTGAAGGATGTAAGGTTCAGCACAGTGTACATAGTGGATCAATGTGAAGGATGTAAGGTTCAGCACAGTGTACATAGTGGATCAGTGTTCAGCACAGTGTACATAGTGGATCAGTGTTCAGCACAGTGTACATAGTGGATCAGTGTTCAGCACAGTGTACATAGTGGATCAGTGTTCAGCACAGTGTACATAGTGGATCAGTGTGAAGGATGTAAGGTTCAGCACAGTGTACATAGCATAGTATGATGATATGATTACTGTCCAATGAGCAGACAGCTGGAGGGCCTAAAGCTACTGGTGTCACCCGGCTAGGCACTGTGTGCACCGGCAGCCATTCTATTCCGATCTGAGATCTAGAAGCTGACAGTCTACATTCTGTATAATATATTGTCGGCTGGGATCCGCACATTCACATAAATGTCTATAAATGAAGATGAAACATTTCCCGCAACTTACCTGCAAAGCCGAAGTCAGACAGCACAATGTGTTTCCGGGTCTGGACATTGCTGAGCATCGGTAAGTAAACGTCCAATCCCAGGAAGATCAGCGCCCCGAAAAAGGCGATAACCCCGATCCCGATTCCGTAGCGGCAGGCGTCAATGTTGTGATTGAAGATACAGTATAGTTGCCCAGTATTGCCACCGACATAGCCGTCCGTCAGGATACAGGAGAAGACGATCAGCGCGAAGATCTGCAAAAGGAAAGACACCAGGGATGTTTAACCTGCAGAAAAACTAGCCAATCACTGCACGGCGGCAGACGCGTGCTAGCGTGACAGAGCCGTGCGCACCGGACAAACACGGGCAGGGCAGCACAGCGGCTAAGTGGTTAGCACATCCGCCTGGCAGTACTAGGGGTCATTGGTTCCATTCCCAACCACGGCACCACCTGCCTGGAGTTTGCATGTTCTCCCTGTACTTGTGTGGGTTTCCTCCGGGGACTCTGGTTTCCTCCAACACTGGTTCCTGTCTAAATTGTCCCTAGTATGTGTATGTATGAATGTGAGTTAGGGACCTTAGATTGTACGCCCCTTGAGGGTTAGGGACCTTAGATTGTAACCCTCAAGGGGCGTACAATCTAAGGTCCCTAACCCTCAAGGGGCGTACAATCTAAGGTCCCTAACCCTCAAGGGGCGTACAATCTAAGGTCCCTAACCCTCAAGGGGCGTACAATCTAAGGTCCCTAACCCTCAAGGAGCGTACAATCTAAGGTCCCCAACCCTCAAGGGGTGTACAATCTAAGGTCCCTAACCCTCAAGGGGCGTACAATCTAAGGTCCCTAACTCACATTCATACATACACACACTAGGGACAATTTAGACAGGAACCAATTAACCTACCAGCACGTCTTTGGAGTGTGGAGGAAACCGGAGTACCTGGAGGAAACCCACGCAGGCACAGGGAGAACATGCAAAGTCCAGGCAGGAGGTGCCGTGGCTGGGATTCGAACCAACGACCCGAGTACTGCCAGGCAGAAGTGTTAACCATTTAGCCACTGTGCTGCCCATTATCACTAGACAGTTCTGACCCCTACCCTCCGCCCGGAGTGCCCAGTGGAGGGGGGCACCCGTTCCACCTAGCGAGATCTGGCACGCGGTTTTTGCGCATTTCATAAACTGAGCGTTCGGCTGCTCTGCCGCACGCTCAATTTATGAAATGCGCAAAAAACGCGCGCCGGTTGCCAATCATTGCTAACGGCGCCCCGAAATGCGGCGAAAGAAGGGGCGCGCATTTGTCCTGCGAAAAGACTGTATTCAATGCAACAAAACACGCGGTTTTTTAAAACAAACATGCAAAGCTGGGCGAGCAAAAAAAAGGTGCATGAGTTCAGTCTCTGCCCCAAGGAGCTTACAATCTAAGTCCTCATGCAAACTAGACGTTTTCACAGCAGCTGTTTTTGGCTTTTGGCGTTTTTGGGTGTTTTTTTTTTCTACAGCCAGTAAACCCCCCCCCCCCCGGCATGTTATCCTAGGTGTCCATACACACAGAGACTGGAATCCACGTCTTTTGGCTGGAAAAAAAGAAAAAAAACTCAGGATTGGTGGGTTTCTAGAGGAGTTTTTTAGTTGTAAAAATGTGGTAAAATACTGCAAAACGGCGTTTCTGGACTTTTTTTTTACCAAAAAAAAAAAATTGGGGGTATAAAAAAAACCTGATAAAAATGCAAACATGGAAAACGGCCACTAAACGCGGCAAAATGGCGCTAGACGCTTATGCAAAACGCTGAGGTTTTTTGGCTTTTTTTTACAGCCAGTAACCCCCCCAACATGTCATCCAATGTGTCCATAGACAGACTGGAATCAACGTTTTTTGTCTGGGAAAAAAAAACAGAACTAGTGGGTTTCTGGAGGAGCTTTTTTAGCTGTGAAAACGCTCTAATGCTGAAAAACGTGGTAAAAACGCCGCAAACCGGCGTTTTTTTTGGCCAAAAAAACTGCTAAAAACCGCAAACGCAGAAAAATGCCGATAAACATGGTAAAATGTCGCTAGACGCTTATGAAAAATGTTGATTTTTTTTTACAGCTTGTAAACCCCCCCAGCATGTCATCCAATGTATCCATTCCACACGGAGACTGGAATCAACGTCTTTTGGCTGCAAAAACAAAAACTCAGGACTGGTGGGTTTCTAGAGAAGTTTCTTAGCTGCAAAAACGCTCTAACGCTGGAAAACGTGGTAAAACGCCACAAACCAGTGTTTTTGGACTTTTTTTTGACCCCCCCCAAAAAATTGGGGGTATAAAAAACCCCGATAAAAATGCAAACGTAGAAAACTTCTGCTAAACGCAGCAAAATGCTGATGTTTTTTTGGCGGTTTTTTTACAGCCAGAAACCCCCCCCCAGCATGTTATCCTAGGTGTCCATACACACATAGACTGGAATCAACGGTTTTTGGCTGCAATAAAAAACAAAAACTCAGGATTGGTGGGTTTCTAGAGGAGTTTTTTAGCTGTAAAAATGTGGTAAAATGCCGCAAACCGGCGTTTCTGGACTTTTTTTTTTAGCAAAAAAAAAAAAATTGGGGGTATAAAAAACCCGATAAAAATGCAAACGCAGCAAAATGTCACTAGACGCTTATAAAAAAAGTTGATGTTTTTTGGCGTTTTTTTTACAGCCAGTAACCCCCCCCCCCCCCCCCCCCCCCCCCCGGCATGTTATCCTAGGTGTCCATACACACACAGACTGGAATCAACGTTTTTTTGGCTGCAAAAAAAAACAAAAAACTCAGGATTGGTGGGTTTCTAGAGGAGTTTATTAGCTGTAAAAATATGGTAAAATGCCGCAAACCGGCGTTTTTGGACTTTTTTTTTTACCAAAAAAAAAATTGGGGGTATAAAAAACCCGATTAAAATGCAAACACAGAAAACCGCCACTAAACGCGGCAAAATGTCGCTAGACGCTTATGCAAAACGCTGATGTTTTTTGGCTTTTTTTTTTTTTACGGCCAGTAACCCCCCCAACATGTCATCCAATGTGTCCATAGACAGACTGGAATCGACGTTTTTTGTCTGGTAAAAAAAAAACAGAACTAATGGGTTTCCGGAGGAGCTTTTTTAGCTGTAAAAACGCTCTAACGATGAAAAACACATCAAAACGCGGTAAATCGCCGTAAACTGCCACAAACTGGCATTTTTTGAATGTTTTTTGACCAAAAAAAAAAATATTTTTTGGTGCTAAAAAATGCAAACACGGGAAAATGCCGCTAAATAATGCAAAAATGCTAAAAAATTTTCTTTTAGATTTTTTAACGTGACACAGCGGACGTCACCAGCATTATCAACCCCCCCCCCCCCCCCCCCCCCCCCACCCACCGTGTGCTGGAGCCTCAGGCTGCCTTCACACTTTAGCATTTCATGAATGCAATCAAAATCGCGCAATTTCATACATGTTGACGAATCGCATTTAAAAAAAAAAAGAAAAAAAGCTTGTCCCACTGCCGTTGCCAAGAAACGCAAAGCTCAATGCTCAGAAAGGCGCATGAGCTACTTTGCCATGTTTGTCGCTTGTCGGGCCGGCGACTGATATTAATGGGCGTGCGCTGTGATTTTTCACGCGTTCGCGCTGAACGTGAATGCAGCCTAAGGTCCCCATCTCACGTACACATACAGGATCAGTTCAGATAGGAGCCACTTAACCTGCCAGCATGGCTATGGAAGAAAACCGGAATACCCAGACAAGGAGGACATGCAAACTCCATGCAGATAGTAGCCTGGCTGGGACTCCAGTGCTGCAGAGTCATTATTTTTGGGGGTCAGTCCTCGGCCGGATGGGACGCACACGGTGCTCGTGTCATTTCTGCATCGCTCTCACTCACTGTTGCACCCGGATGTGACATTTGCATCCACTATGATAACCTCCCCACCCCCACCTCCGAGGGTAACCCTGATGCCGACAGCTCACACCTAGGCTACGTTCACATCTGAGAACAGCGGCAGGTTTTGCGATGCACATTTTGGCGCATTTTTGGCACAGCGGCCCATTTGCTTCGAATGGTCTGCCTGCCACGCAAAAAATGCGCCAAAGAAGCTCGCGCACCTAATTTTGGCACTGAGCCAAGCGCGTTTTGTGATGCGGTTTTGGCACCTTTTCTCACATGACAAATGTGCCAAAATTGCTCCGCCTTCGGGGTTCCATAAGAAATAATGGCGCCGCAAGCACGTAGCGCGTTTGTTGTCCTTGTTTCTGGAAATGCGCGTTTCTGCCTGGAGTGTCGCAGGTGTGAATGCAGCCTTAAGCGGCCATTGCTGAGCTCCTTCTCAAAATGCTCAAAATGGTGTCACAATCATCCTCTGGACACTCTGAGCCCTCTTGATTGGCCAGCAACCCGAGAATTCAAAGTGCGTCGGCCATCAGACATGTTCTTCCATGTTAAGTAGTCTTCCGGGCAGGGGCAGGCTGACCATTCGAGCACTCGGGCACTGCCCGAGGGCCCAGGGTCAGTAGGGGGCCCCATGATATGCCCCTGGTACCTTTCATTGGCTTTTTCGGGTGTGGGCGAGAACACAGGGGCCCCATGATCCCCTATTGCCTGGGGGCCCCATGAGTTGTCAGTCCGCCCCTGCTTCTGGGTATTTATTAGCTTTCACAGAGGTCACAGTGCTCCCCCTGACAACGCCTTCATCTGCTTTTCTCTCCAGAAGGATGTCGCCATCTTTGTTCAAGCATCATCCAAGGTCACCATCGACTTCCTGGACTGAGATGCCGGCTAAGAGATGACACCATCATGTAGATCCAGGTGCCTGCGCAGTCCTGGGCTGTGTTCAGCCTCTTGAGGAAATGCTTATGATTGCCAACAGAGCAGTAAGAACACTCACCTGCTCCTTCAGGATTGTTCCTCTACTGGCCAGACGAGGGCGCTGTCTCCTCATTGCTGCTCCCTCATGAGTGAGATTCTTCAGAACTTCAGTCAGTCCTTCAGGATTGTTCCTCTACTGGCCAGACGAGGGCGCTGTCTCCTCATTGCTGCACCCTCGCTCATGAGTGAGATTCTTCAGCACTTCAGTCTATCCTTCGGGATTGTTGCCCTACTGGCCATAGGAGGGCGCTCTCTCCTCATTGCTGCTCCCTCACTCATGAGTGAGATTCTTCAGAACTTCAGTCAGTCCTTTAGGATTGTTCCTCTACTGGCCAGACGAGGGCGCTGTCTCCTCATTGCTGATCCCTCACTCATGAGTGAGATTCTTCAGCACTTCAGTCATTGAAGGAGCAATGCTGT